TTCCTGTGATGCTCTCATGCATAGAACAAATTTGTATACCTTTTCCTCTGTTCTTCTGTCTACCATTAGTTTATTTCATACACTCAGTTATGGAATCCCCCAGGGAATGTTTTTCTTCTCTTACATATGTGTAAAGTCCCTTTCGGAATTTCACTCTGCCTTGGATGTACTAAGGGCAATATAGGAAAGAGATTTTTTTTTCCCTACCCATTTGCTAGGGAAGATCCTATCAATGAGGGAGATTTGTACCCAAAGAGAAAGCAAAGCCCCAAGGTAGAGACACCTGTAAAGAGTCCTTCTCAAATGCAGACCCCCCCATCCAAAGTTTGAAATAGTTTGGTTTTGTTTAAGGAATGGTAGTTGTTGCCTTTCAATCTGGAATTTTTTTAAAATATATTTTTAGTTGTACTTGGACACAATATCTTTATTTATTTATTTATTTTTTATGTGGTACTCAGGGTCCAACCCAGTGCCTCACACATGCGAGGCGGGCACTCTACCACTGAGCTATAGCCCCAGCCCCCCAATCTGGAATTTATTTCCCCAAATAATCTACACTGCAAGACTGTTTCTTGTTTCTGTGTCTATTAATTGGGTCTTCAAACCTATCAGTCCCCTACATGAAATCCTGCTCTAACCTAGACTCATTTTTTTCAAGACCTACTTTGTACCCCAGAAATAACTAAGGATTGGATGATGGCTCTACTTGGAGTGGCCCACATATTTCAGGGTGTCTGTCTGTCTGTGTTGCCCAGACAGCTCCTACTTACCCTTGGTAATCCCTTCTGGACAAAGGATACCAAGACAAATATAAGTCACTCTATCTCTAGCAGCAATCTTAGATGGCCAAGGAAATGCCAATCTTCGAAAATAAACAGCCCTAATATTAGCCTGGATGTGTGGACATGTTTTCCTAGCAGGTGCGGGGAGAAAAAAAACCCTTGAATTCTCATGCATTTTCAAAGCATGCCTCATGCACTGACACCTCCCAGGATGTCACTACATGTCTTTGGGTCCATAACAGATGTTACTACCCACAGGATGGGGTAGCAGCCAGTCCTCAGTTCCTAGGGATCAGTGTCGCTGTCTGTTTCCAGAAGAGTCTGAGCAGTCCCATCCCTCCTGATCCCTCATGTCCCTCTGTCACCACGCAGGCAGCAATTCTAGGGCTATAGCACATAGACACTCCCTCTGGCATAGAAAAATGTGCAAGAGACAGATGCAGACAGGTCACCAAGCAGCCCCCCCCCAAATGTCATGCTGTCACCAACAAGCATTTCCAAATGAGGCCTGAGTACAGCATGTTCATGTTCACAGGGCTATGTCCAGCTGCCAGACTACAAGGCATCTATGTGCTCTCTGGTTCTTACAGTTGACAGGTAGGATGGACAGGACAGCCTTATCATGATGAACGATTATTATCATACCTACAAAATCACACAGGTAGGTGCTGTATACAAAAGTACCCAGTGCTTTCAGCATCTCTTCCATTGAATCGGAATTGCTTTCTCATAGTATATATCAGAAAGATGTCCAATATACTAAAGCAAGCAAACAAACAAACAAAGTACCCAGAGGTTGGAGGGTCCTGAGAGATCAGAGCCAAAGAAGTTTAAAGAGGAAACAGACTGGAATCTTGTCTCAAATCTAGAGTTCAAATAAGTTTGGGAGAAGAGAGGCTCCTGGAGATGAATGGGGACAGGCAGGTGACAAGGGTGTTAGACAAGACAGAAGCACATCTGTATTGCAAAGGAGGTAGAACTCATCCTATGACCTTTAAGGAGCCAGAGTAGGATCAGGAAACAAGCCTAGCAATGGTAGGACCTAAGATTCTGGAGGTTAAGTCTCTGTCGGCAGCAACGTTATATTCACATTCACAAATGCAGCATCTTCTGAATGAAGAGGTAGGCCCAGGGGCAGGGGAAAGTGGTCTGGGAAGAGGAGAGGCATAGAAAGAAGAACAGAAAACAGGAGCTTCAGCTATGTGGAAAGACAGTGCCCTCCCTTGGCTAAGAAGCCAGTGATCCAAGGCAGTACACGAAAATCATCAAATAATTCCAGTAGCACCAAAGTCTGTTCTTTCGAGTGAACAGAAAGATTTGTGTAACTTTATAATTTATTTGTGTTTTATATATATATATATATATATATATACACACACACACACATATATATATATACACACACACATATATATAAAACAAAAATTATGTGTGTGTGTAAATATATATATTTTTTTTATTTTATTTTTTGCATTGGGGATTGAACCCAGAGGTGCATTATCACTGAGCTATATCCTCAGCACTTTTTGGGGGGTGGGGGGGTTACTAGGGATCAAACTCAGGGACATTTGACCACATCCCAGCCCTATATTGTATTTTATTTAGAGACCGGATCTCACTGAGTTGCTTAGTACCTCACTGTTGCTGAGGCTGGCTTTAAACTCGAGATCCTGCTGCCTCAGCCTCTTGAGCTGCTGGGATTACAGACGTGTGCCACCATGCCAGGCTTGTATATGTAATTTTAATAAAATGGAATCAAAATTTATTGTAACTCCTCATTTAAAAAGATTTAGCAAGGCAGAAAATTTTGTTTACAGTTCTTCTGTAAATGTTCAGATACAAGCAATTTAAAGATAAAATTGTCCCTTGGTATCTATCTGAGGGGGATTGGCTCTAGGATCCTCCTCAGATACCACATTCACAGATGCTCAAGTATCATATCAAATGGTGTTGTATTTGCATATAACCCAAACAAATCCTCTCATATACTTTAAATAATCTCTAGATCACTTATACCTTACAAAATGTAAATGCTTTGTAAATATTTGTTATACTTTATTGCTCAAGGAATAATGACAAGAAAAAAAAAAGTCTATGTACTGTTCAGTACAGATGTAACCATTGCAGTCTGAACCACATTTTCCATCCATGATTGGTTGACTCTGAGGTTGAAGACCTGGCAGATACAGGGCTGACTGTGTTATAAACAGTACTTCGGGGAAAATGGTGCAACAATGCAAACATCCAAACATCTGTTTTCAAATGTTCTTTTTTAGCACAATTTTAATTTTTAAAAGATGATCAAGCAATACCTGTATCTTGAAGGGATAGGTTAAGACCTTGTTGTTTTTGTTTTGTTTCGTTTTGTTTTGAGGGGTGGTATGGGTACTAGGAATTGGACTTGTGGCCTTGCACATGACACAGAGCTACATCCCCAGCCTAGAACTTCTTATTAAAAAATACCTGACAGCCACTCGTCATCACAGATAAGGACAATAAAAATAGACCTTGGTCTTTTGTTTAAGAAAAACTTGTAACTTAGCTTTAATGTTGGTAACTCATTAAAATGCTTGCCCCAATAACAACCAGTGAATGCCTATGTAAATAGAAAGATCTTCCTGGTTACTCTTATCCCATTATGAAGAGTTAAAAGAACTCATTATATTTTAAAGAACTTTTTTTAAAAAAAAAATAAATGACATCACAATGTTTTTTGCATGCCTAGCTTTAACACCTTGGCTGTGAATAAATATCAAGTGTGGTCCTCTCTTGGAAACCATATGAGGCCCCTCTTTTTATTCCAGTCAATAAATTTCCCATAAAACATTATTTTTAAAGAAATCATTTATTTTTCTCCCACACACCTTTCCTTTAATGGCTCAAAAATAACACTTTCTCATATATTTCAATAAAATGTAGCAAATTCCATTAACTGAGATGTTAGAAATCTCTATACTTTTAATCAAATCTATAGCATGCTTCCTATAAGGCATACTCTGTCCTAATATTCATTTCTTGAATTTCCCAGCAATGTTTTCTATGCATCTTTCAATAATGCTTGCCGACAAAAGATTGCATTTTTTATTGCCACATTGTTTCATGTATTATTTCAGCTATTTTTCCTGGTAGAAAAAGCAAATGGTTCCCTAAGGCCATGTGGGTTTTTTTTTTTATGTTTTGCAATTACTAAGAAATACCAAAAGATTCTTGTATGTGCTTATCATTATTTTTAATGAAATATTGTAAAATACTGGATTAAACATTAGAATGACTTTAAGCATCATGCTTAATTTTTAAATATCTTACCAATTAGGAAAGCTTTCTCCTATCATTGGCTAATGTCTCAAAGCAAAAACTCTTAGGAAAATAACCTTTGTAACAATACTGTCAACTATATTTCAGGTAATTATTTTGAAAATGTGGAATTTTTTTGTCAACTTCCTTTCAGATTCCATTAGATTGTCATTGCTTTTACCTTTGAGGAAGAGGGCCATTCCTGGTATTGATGTTTTATGCTTGCATTATTGATATTACCTCCAGTTCGGATCTCTTTGCAGACATCTTTTAAAGACATTTTTTCATTTTGTGAAAGTTCACATGGTAGGGCACTAAAAAAAAAAAAATGTCGATGGGGCTGGGATATAGCTCCAAGATAGAGCACTTGCCCTAGTGTGTACAGATCGTGGGTTCTTGTGTACAAGGCACTGCAAAAACAAACAAAAAGATGTTGGATGAATTGAGAGACATCTTGGACCCTCAATGGTTTGATACCTAAAGAGAGAAGACCCTGTCCCTGGGTTTGGGAGGATCAAGTTTTTAATTCTCCAGGAATTTGCAGCCAAGAAGCATTTTTATGAGAGCCATATTCTCTCTTGGAAAAAGTAAAAACAATTGATGGGATTTTATTCTTCATATTCCCCTAGAGTGATACAGATGAATAATCAAGAAAGAGCTCAGACGGTCTGAGATGAGCACCCAAGTCCACTGAGAGTTCTGCTGGGAGAATTCAGATGCTGTTTTTTCCCTGATAAATGGGTGGGCCAATTTGAAGTCTGGCCAGTTTCCAACCTCAGAGCAAGTGAGCTTAGGTACAAACCCAGAATGGGAACTGGATATAGGCTGGCCCGATCTGCTGCCACAGAGAGTCACTTGCTTTGGCAATCTTAGATGGGAGTTAAGATTGCTTTTGGCTTCCTGTTACAGATACTTAAATGAGGCTTTTTTTTTTTTTTTGTGTGTGTGTGTGTGTGTGTGTGTGTGTGTTGTGAGATATAACGAAAAGTTAGGAGGCAGATGATCCAGGGACATTGTTAGGAAAGTTACAGAGAACCCTGCTCAAACATGAGGCATTCCTTTTCAGCATGGTGAGACAATTACTTCAACCCCAGGCCTCCCTTCTCCAGGCAGGAAGAAGAGGGTGAGGCCAACGTGCGGTTTCTTCTTGGGCCTTTGCCTTTTTGTTCAGGGACAGATACTCTTCCCAGAGAGTTCTACCAATATTTATTATCCAGCACGGTGAACATCTGTAAGTGAACTTGAGAGATGAGGGTTTTCAACCAAGCATGTACCTCTCCAAATAGAACTGATGTTCATTTAGTACCAATTAGTGGGGAGCGGGGAGGATTCTGGGATGAATCTGGCTCAACTCATGAAGGAACACCCATGTTTCAATTTCGTTTGAGTCGACTGACTCTGGCTTCTTCACAGACATCTCTCAAAACCTTTCATCATGTCTTGGACAATATTTTACTCTAAAAGACTGTTGAAAAGCACCACAATCAGGTGAGTCTTGGTAAGTTCCCCGTATGGCCCACTTTTCACTCCAGAAATATTTCCACAGATAGAGCAGGATTCAGGAGGCCTGGGCTCCAGGTTCTGATTTGTGGAGGGGCTTCTCTGTCCTGTGGGGATGAGGGAATACTCCTCCAGGTCCCTGATTTGCCTATGGGTACTGGGGATACCTCTGATTCCTAAAGAACTGCAGTCCTCTGTGAGAGACTGTGTGGAGGCTGAGCCTCAGCAGGCTCTACAGCCTCCACTTGCTGCTATTCAACATGACTCCAGTTGGCCTTCAGCCTCAGTCTCTGAGGACACTGGATTTCAGCACGTGGGAAGCACCCCAAACACAGGAGTTGGGGCTGGCAGAGAGGCAGCTCAGGAACTGGCCCAGGAGCTGGCCATGCCTGAAGCTGTAGATCCTTCCAGCTCCCAGGAGACTTTCTATTTTTGTTCCATTCCTCTTTCCATAGTGATATAGTTGGTAGATATCATTCAAACTGAATTGAATTTATATTCATTTTGACTCTAGGCTAATAGTCACCTAGGTGGATGATGAAGGAGGATAGATGTCTTTCCCCCACCCCTCTTATTGTCAAATAAATATACACACTGCAGAAGATTTAGACAACACAGAGAAGTTTCACGAAGCAGGAAACAGAACCCCTTTGTAAGCCTTAGGAGATAAACACGGGTGACCATATAGATGATGAAATCCCCTAGCAAAGTGCCCATGGCAGAAATTGCTCTCCCAATATCATTCTCCCATTCTTGATTCCTACCACAACCCCAGTTTTAATGAGGGCAGCAATGTGCCCAGGTAAAAGGCAACATTTCATAATCTCCCTTGCAACCAGCAGGTGCTAACGGATTGTCAGTGGAACTTGGGCTTGCAGGAGGACTTCTAAAGGGAGGGAGGGGAAGGAGAGGGAAGCACACATACTCTGTCCCTTTCTCTTTCCACTTTGCCTGTCCAGGATATGGACGTGATGGCCAGAACTTCAGCAGATATCTTGGGCATTTTTAGGATTAAATCTATGTGCCAGAAAGAGTGAGACAGGTAGAAGAAAGCTGCATCCCTGATGGCTTGGTATAGCCCTGAAGCAGCTGCCTCCGGACTTCTTTTATGAGAGAGAATAAACTCCTAGTTCATTTAAGTCTCTAGGTCAGGTCTCCCCTGACAGTAACTGAACATAATTCTCAGTTGATCCATTGCCTGATAGAGAATGAGTGTCCAGTAAATGTCTAAGGCAGCAGGTTTCTCTGGGAAGAGGTTTAGGCAACAAGAATAAAAGTGCCCAGAAGAGCTGGGGATGTGGCTCACGCGGTGGCACGATCACCTGGCATGCGTGCGGCCTGGGTTCGATCCTCAGCACCACATACAAACAAAGATGTTGTGTCTGCCGAAAACTAAAAAATAAATATTAAAAAGCTCTCTCTCAAAACAATTTTTTTAAAAAAAAAGTGCCCAGAAGAATCCTGGCCCTGCTCCATCACCTGCTCTTTCTGGGCCTCAGTTGATTTTCTGTGAAGTGTGTCAGAGTCAACACTCTCTAAGAGCTTCTTGGGTCTTACCCTCTGAGTCTCTGGACTAGACAGACCTGGGTGTTCTAACACTTTCACCTCTTACCAGCTTTGTCACTAGAGGTGGTCACCATGGCCTCTTGGAGGTTTGTATTTTTCATCTTTTTTTTTTTAAACCTGCCAGGCACACAGGAAACAGCAAGGAAAAAAAAATAAGATAATTCTGTACTGTGCCACCCAGAAGAGGGAGTCTCTGTAACTCCAATGGCTCTAGGACTTAGGTGACCTGGCCTTCCCCAGCCTTGGCCAGAGCTCATATTCTGTGTATTTGCCAGGACTGGCTTCTGATACAAAATGACCCTTCTGTCTTTCTCTCCCCAGCAGCTTCTGGACTCTGTGGGCAGCCAAAGCCTTCTGGAGAAGAAAGAAACAGGGAGAGAAATAAACCGGCTCATGGCAGGTGTGAGGGAGCAACAGTCGATCCCTCCCAGAATGAAGCTCTGTTGTCGGGCTGACCCCCTCCAAGGGCATCAGGGAATTCTGCCATCATTTGGCTTTAGGAGAGGAAGCTGTGGCCATCCAAGAAGCTCCTTGATTCCCATTGGTCCAGAGCTCTACCTGTGCCGTTATTTCCTGACAGGAAGTTCGGTTGTCCTGGCACTCAATCTCCATGGCAACCCTTGCTTTTGAGACACTGAATGGAAACTGCTGGTGTGGGGAGGCCAGTAGCAGAATACTGATAGGCCCGGGTGTCTGTAACGACAACTGCATCTCAATACCTTTCCAGATACCCGAAGAGCTAAAAATACATCCAGCTCTGTCTAGGGCTCCCCAGCCAGGCTAAGCATCTTAAAGCACCTCTGTGCTGACTCTGATCTGCCAATATTAGTACCTTTGGCAACTTGGGCTTGGGGGACATAAAATCGTTCATTGAAAGCAAAATTGCAGAGCTCAGATTTGGAGGGGTACATTTGGGGAGGAAAGGAAGACCTCCTAAGAGGAAACCCAGGGGTTTGAGGAGAGGGATGATCAGCAGAGAACATGTTGAATCCCAACTCCTCACAGAGCTCTAGCAATCTTGCTAGTCCAACTTAGGTCATCTGGGCCTTTGTTCATTTACTTGTTCAAAGAACATGTTATTAGGCACTTACTCTGTTCTGGTGGGTCACTGTGTCAGGCATTGAGATTACAAGTATGAATAAGAGAGTGTGGATGTTCCCTGTTCTCACCAGAGCTTGCAGTATGTTGGAACTCGGGATTCTTATTCAGTCTAGAAATGCTCTGTGTATAGCCAGATGCCTTCCCTGCTCTGCAGTGTGTTTCTTCAACTAGAAGATCATGTTACTTTCAACCATGGCACATTTCCAGTACCTGGTAGGTGGTGAGGTAACATGGGACTGAATGCAATGGGATGGAATGGAACAGCACTTGCAGCTACCGTTGTGCCTGTCCTGCCCTAGTGCTACAGCTTCTCTGTGGGCCTCCCAGAGGCCCTGGTTGGCTCTGCCAAGTGTATGCTCAGGCTGTGAGGTACTGTATTCAGCATAGATGGGGTGACTGCTCCATGGACACCTGCTAAGGGAGCTCAGTATAAAGTGACAGGTTGAATTAATTCCTAGTCTCCTTGGCAGGATCCACAGACAATCCTCCCCCACCCATCTCCTTCCCGTAATCGCTGCACATGTCATTCAATTAATTCTGTATTTCCCAGAGCAGGAGGCTGTGCAGAGTTGAAGCAAGCAGCCTATTCTGGGACTGTTTTTTTTAAAAAGCGGGTGTTGCGCACTTAGCCTCAGTCACAGCTCCAGGCCCAGCCTCTTCCTCAGGTGGACAGGCCACAGATGCAAAAATGGACCATGATTACGACTCTTCAGGACTGTTTCTGGAGACACAGCAGGTGCTGGGCAGGTACCTGATGTGCATATGATGTACTGGATCACGTGAGGATGCCATACTGAGCCTCAGGGGGGTCAGATCTTGTGGCTGGCCTGCTGGTGGGAAGCAGGGAAGAGGCTGGACTCCTGGATGCACCCCAAATCATTCTAGGTCTGAGAATGAAAATGGTTCTATGCAACTTAATCCTCCTTTCTGGCAAGGCAGCTCCAGAGATGCCTGTGGTGTGTGCGTTGGGACGGAGGATGGAGGGTGGAGGGCCGGGGGGGGGGTGGGGGGGGGTGTTCACAGCAGAGCTGCTTCTGGTTCCCTCTGGAACCCTGTGGGCAAAGCAACAACAGTCCCATTTCCTTCTTCTTCTGCCCTATTTCCTCCGTCACACATGGTAGCAGCAGGTCTCTGGTGGTTTTCTTTTCCCTTCCTCTAGGAGGAGGGATCCTGGGGCTCCTTGGGGCTCAGTCTGTAACATCACCAGCCTGCACTGGTGGCTCCCTGCATACCCACAGGGTGGGGAAGGGATACTGGAGACCCTTTGGTCTCCAAATTAGCTGAATCCTTTGGGATTCTGGGAGGGCCTTCTCTTGTCCAGAACTCAGCCTGGCAGGTGACAGACTCTTTCAGGGCATCACCTGAATTGTTCCTTGACACCCCCCCACCCCCCATGCTCTGACATGAGCTGTCTTCAGAGCCGGTCTGATGGTCCTCTCCATAGAGCCCCGCAGTGCTCTTCTCATGGCTCTGTGGAGGAGGAAAAAAACAAGGAAAACAAGATGGCTGAGGTATCAATGGTACGTCTGTGGCCTGTGCAGAGAAAGAAGCTTGGATTCAGGATTGAAACTCAGGTCCCAGTCCTGCTCACCCCCTAATCAGCTGGTCACCTTGGCTACAGCACCAGCCCCTCAGAGCCTGTCTGACCCCAGAAGGTTCTCAGATGACCCATGGGGGCAATGGACATTGAAGTGCTTTGAACTTAATCCCTGCGGAAAGGAATGTATTCAACACCTACTATGTGGCTGGCACTGTGCTGAGTGCTGTTCAGATACAAAAGAGTTTGCCTCTGGACTTGAGAAACTTGTGTGCCCAAGAGATGAGATCCTATGGCTATAAGCAATGTGACATTTTGGGATATTGGCTGCCATTTAGGGAGGACAAGAAGGTGGAAGGAAGAAGATGTATACATGTGAAAGAAGAGGACACATAAACAGACTAGGATGAAGTGCTTTCGAGTTCAGTAAAGGCGAATGGAGATGGAGAGGGAGAGGGAGATCAGCATGACCCGGGACCATGGGGGATGCTTTATGGAAGAAGCCCATTGTGAGCTGGACTGTGAAGATCGACAATCACGAGCCACATAATGATGTTTCTGTAAATGAAGAACCACACGTATATACTGGCGGTCCCATAATGATATCACCTAGAAATGTAGCCATCTTGGTTTGCGTAAGTATACTCTGATACTTGCACAACATGCGATCACCTAAGGAGGCATTTCTCAGAAGACATCCGACCGATAAGCCACAGACTGTCCAAGCTTCAGAGAGTTGACTGAGAGGACGGAGCTGGGGTGGAGGATAGAGGGGATCCAGCGATCAAAGGGATGGAGGCCCCTTCAGTATGGCGTAGGGTTAAAAGCCTCTTTGAGGGAGCAGGGTGGGAAGACAGCAAATAAATAATAATATCAGTTGGGCTTGGGCTGCGAAGGGAGGTCTATCACTCAGCAGTTGTTTGCCTTGGGAAAAACCTTATTAACCTATCTGAGTCTCAATTTCTCTGCCACTGAAAACTTGAAAACAATACCTACACGAACTGACTGTATTAAGGATTATACCAGATCCCTGCCGCAGTTCTGCAACTCACTGGTTGTCCGACCTAGCAATTTCACTTTCTTGAGCCCCAGGTTTCTCATCTTTAGAGTGGGGACAATGCCTCTTCCAAGGTTGGGGCTAGGATGAAACAAGAGATGATATGTCAACCATTTGGCACAGGTAGGTGCTCAATAAATGTTATCATGAGCCAGATCCCCTCTAGGGAGGCAGGGCAACTGGGAAGTTTTCTGAGCAGAGGGGAAGGGTTCAAATGGGGTCATCTATCAAGTGGATGGAGGTCCAAGTGAACAAGAGAGCATTTCTGAGTACCAGCTGTGCCCAGGAGAGGGAGGAGAGCCTCCTTCCAGGCTGGAGCCAGCAAGTTAATCTGGCGTGACCTCACTCTTGCAGGGCAAACTTCCATCCCCCAAAACCCAAGTGACCAACTTAATAGCTGTAGCCAAGGTAGAGAAGGTATTGGGAGAGGTTCTCCTCTGGCAGCCAGGATGCATTGCGAACCTCATTTCTTTGATGGATGGAAAAATAAATCATTTTAGTGGATTTGTTTTCCTGTGGGCACACTGAGTCACAGTACCTGGACATCCTTCCCCAGTCATGAAGCCTCTGAGCTCCCCCAAGCTGCCCTGCCAATGCCTGGGAAGGTAAGCGCACTCCAGCTGCAGAGCCAGTGGGTTCAGGACATCTTGATTAAGAGTGGGGGTGGGATGTGGTGGGCATCACAGGCCTGAGGTGACTCAGAGACTGCTTCCACCCCCTGCTCCCTCGCTTGGCCAGTCCTCAGAAGAGCCACCTGGTGCAGACAGTTTACTAATGTGGCTCCCAGAATCTGCCTGTGTGGAACCTATTGGACCCATGCAGTCAGAACAGGCAGCCTGGGTGAGTAAGGACCCTGGACCAAGGGCAAAACCCTAGAGTCAAATCCCATCTCCTTTACTGATGAGCTGAGTGGCCAGCAAGGGTATTTACCTTTTGGTGCCTCATTTTTTTTGCCTATATTATGGGATAGCTGTTCCTGCCCTGCTCAGTTCAGAGGATTGATGTAAGACCGTCTGCATTTGTGTTATCAGCCTAACCTCTTACAAAGAATCATAAACAGCTTAGACACTTAAGTGCCCCCCTCTCTCTTGGGCTAATAATCCTAAACTCTGGCTCTCTAAGCAAATTTCAATTCTGTCTCTTTCTTCCATCCACTTCATGCTCTTGGCCTATGGAGCCTCAAAATAGAGCTCTAAATAGACTCTCTTAGCCAGGCGGATCTAGTGTGCAGTGGCATACAATGATCTCATGGACCCTCATGTGGAAGTTCCTGCAGGGATTTTGGTCAATGAGCCCCTTACCCTGTGGTCACTACCCTGCTCCCTGCTGGGGTATAAGCAGTTACCATGCGAAACTCCTGGCTGTTTCTTGCTGTGCCTACTGCCCCACCTCCCTTCTCTGCCTGCCACATGGCCCTCATCCCATCCCCCAGTTCTGACGTCAAAGGCTGGAGCGGTAGCTGAGCACACAGAAGGTGAGGCCAGGGCTTCCTGGCAATCCAGGGGCTTGGCTTCGGGAGCAGCCACCTGCCTCTCTGCCTGATGGGCTTGGCTGAGCCTCCCCGGCCACAGCCTCCCCTCTGCTCCTCCCAGAGTGGTCTGTGCCTCTCCTAGGCAATGAGTCCTCTTTCCTGATAAAAGACTGTGTCTGAGCCCACGGCAACCCAGGAGAAGGTCTGGCTTTCCTCCTTTCACTTGGGTGCCACATTGGGAGGCAAGCTGGGTGCCCAACTCAAAAAAACTGCTGCTTTGTGGGTTGATTGGGTGAACGAAGGAAGAAAGAAATAGCTATGCTAAAATTTAGGATTTGATTTCCCTTAGGACAAGAATTTCTACCCACACTGAAATCAACCCTGCCCCACCCTAAGGCCAACTGTGTGGGCTGATTTCTCTGGGAAGATAATTCCCTCATATTTGGGGGAAGTTTCTTACCACAAATGGCTCAGGCTTACGCACGGGTGCCAAATGTGGCACACGAATTATTCTAAGCAACTCAACAGCCTGGTCTTACACAAATCATGAGATAGGGAAGGGTAATTCTGGATTTCTCTTTCTTTGTTTCTGTCTTCCCTACTGTCATTGATTGAATGATTCATTCATTGATTCATTGACTCAAACTCTTGCAGAGCATCATACATCAGCAGGTGCAAACTGAACAAAGGGCTGGCCGTGAACTGGGCCCTCCCTCAGGGACCCTGTATGTAAAAGAGGGAGTTAGTATATAAAGCAATTGGGCAGAATGTAGGGTGGGCTGCAAGAGGGAGATCCAGAAGTCCAGGAAGCCATGGAAGAGGCTCCCCTGCTGCAGGTGTAACTGGGCTTTGGAGGAGATGAGGCTTGAGCTGAGTAGGCATTAATCAGGTGAAGGAGCGTGGCCTGGCAATGTGGAGGAGGAAGGGGGGGTGCCCATGGAAGGGGAGCTGCGTCAGGGAACCATCTGGAAGACAGTGTTTCATTTAGCTAGAGAAAAGAGGGAATGATGACCCATTCTTGTCAGCAGCTAAGTAAGGTGCTAACTGTTAAGTAAGGCAAGTGTTAGTTTATAACAGCTTCAAGATGGGATTCCTCTTAAGGACTATCTATTTTCATTGGCTGCTGCTGTGGGAAGAGTGTGACTTTGGAATCAAGCACACCTAGGTTCAAAACTTGCTGTTAGTCACTACCTGGAACCTTGAGCAGGTCACTTAATTTTTGGAAACTTCACTTCCTGGAGAGACAACAACCTCCACTCCTTAGGGCTGTTGTGTGGGTTAAAGGAGATGTCATATGGAAAGGGCCCAGCTCAGAGTCAGCACAAAATAGGTGCTCAGACAAGTTGCTTTTACCTCCAAAGATTAAACATAGGATTACCATATGGCCCAGAAATTCCGCTCCTGGGAATATACTCCAAACTGAAAATGGGGACTAGAACAGATATTTATACACCCATGTGCCTAGCAGCATTATTCACAATAGCCAAAAGGTGGATCCAAGTACCCATCAATGGATGAATGGATAAATAAACATACAACAGACTATTTTTCGGCCTCAAAGAGAAAGAAAGAAATTCCTGATATATGCTACATGGATGAAGCTTGAGAACATTATGCTAATTGAAATAATCTGGTCCCCAAAGGGCAAATACTGTATGATTCCACTTCCATGAGGTACTTTGAGTAGTCCAATTCAGAGAGACAGATAGTAGAATGCTAGTTGCCAGGGGCGGATAGAGAGGGGGAATGAGGACTCAGTGTTTAATGAGTACCGAGTCTCGTTTGAGAAGATGTAAGGAGTACTGGAGATGGACAGTGGAGATAGTTGTACAACAATGTGAATGTAATTAATGTCACTGAGCTGCTATGCCCAAAATGGTTAAAACAGTAAATGTATGCTATGCATATTTTACCATAATTTTAAAACGTTTTCAGGACTGGGATGTAGCTGAGTGGTAAAGTACTTGCCTAGCATGCATAGGTGCTGGGTTCAATCCCTAGCACCATGATAAATTAAAAAAATTATTCTCCTTCTACAGAAGCAAAGCCTCTTACCCCACCCCACCCCCGCCCACTCTTTCTGTCTCTCGGAAAGTGGACAAAGGTAGATTCCCTGTGACACTCCTGAAAGGTCACCAGCCCTGAGCTAGATGCCTAGATATCAGCTGATCCTGCTCAGACTCCCAGAGAGGGGATTGATTAAGCAATGTTCTATCCAGGCTGAGGACTCTATGCATCAGGCTCATTGGAAGGGAGCTGGCTCTGGTGCTGGAGTTGGGCAGGGAGGGGAAGGGGGATTAGCATTCACTGAGTGTCCACTGTGCGCCAGGCTGCATGCTAAACCAGGTGCCAGGCATACAAATGAACAGCTTCTGCCCTCAAGGAATTTGCACTCAACTTCTACC